ACTACAAACTGTTTCAGGGATCTCATGCTCCTGATATTGTCATAACATCAGCTGAGACATCGTCTGTGAAGACCCAGTCCAAAACATCTGATGTTATTGCTGTATTAAAAGAGACCTGCAAAGAACTGGAAGCTAGGAAAAAGACCCTAGAAAACCTAATTGCCAGGTTAGAAAAGGAGGAAGCTGAAGGAAACAGAAGGGAAGAGGGTGTAGAAGCTGAAGGTCATCTCAATACTGAAGAAACTAGCTCCTCTGAGTATGATGACAGTGCTTAAAGGTTGGTGGAGTTGCTGATTGGTGGAGTTGATGCTGGTCCCTGGTAGAGTTTGGAAGTGTGTTCAGTTTTTAGTTCTGCTCTCATTACTTTTTCTGAATGACTGTATAAATTTTAAGAACATGTATCTTTGGCCCATTTGTGGCTAAAGAGGGGGAGATATATTTTGGTACTTTATTAGACATTCTATTTTTCTGCAGTCATATTTATTATGCTGCTATCTATCTCTGATTGCTTAGGGGCTTTAGCCAAAAATCTGCCAAAGGGGGAGTTTGTAGTTGTTTAGGTATTGGCATGCATTTTTGGTAAAACCAGGTGTATGAATGTCATGACTGATGTCATAACATTCTAGTTTATTAGGTACAAATTTATTAGGTACCTTTGCAGAAAAATATTGTCATACAGGTACTGATGTTTATGAGTGTGTATCTGAGCATTTTGCAAAATGATCACATTTACCAAAATCAGTAAACAGGAATTCAGATGTCATAACAAATGTTAAGACATCCTGTTCTGAACTAACAGGTATGCAGTTTGGTTAATTTTGAGTTTTTTTCAGGAAAATGACTCAGTCTTTCCAGAACAGAATCCTGAGTTTTCTTTGGGTTAACCTAGCTCAACCCCAACCTGGTTGATCTAGTCCTGTGACCTAGTCTTAAGGTCAAACGGATTTAACCCTAGCTTTTTGTGGAAACCCTAACTGAAGATGCAGCTGCTATATATTCAACAGAGCTGCTGTCTTGGAATGTATCCCTTTTTGACAGAAGATCTTTTAGAAGTTGTATAGTTTTAACTATTGTAATCCAAGCAATTATCATTGTGATAAGTGACTTGGAATAGGTTTTAATTGTAAGGGTTGTGTATCACTCAAAGCTTTGAAGCAAGAGTGTTTGTTTGTCTCTTGACTAAAGCTGTGAAGCAAAGTCAAGTTAGGTCTGTGTATCACTCAAAGCTGTGAAGCAAGAGTGTTTGTGTTGCTTGATTAAAAAGCTGTGAAGCATAATCAAGTGTATGTTTTGAAGAGTGTCTTCATCAATTCATTAGTCAAATTGTTTTATGTACCACTGCTGTGATTGAGGGGGAGTGAGTAGGAACTCAGGTTTAAGTTATACTTAGATTGAAGTTGCATTGGATAGGTCTTAAGTGAAAGAGATAAACTGGTTGGTTTATTCTTGAATTAATATCTCTTATAGTGGATTTCCTCCCTGGCTTGGTAGCCCCCAGAGTAGGTGTTGTTGCACATTGAACTGGGTAAACAATTGACTGTGTTCTTTACTGTTTTTGTATTTACTGTCTTATAGAAAGTCAGATACGGTGTCATAACATTGAACGTGACATTGAGTATCTGCAGCCAGAATTTCACGAACCTTTGTGCCTACGTACCACCGACCGTGTAATGGGGATCAAGGCACTCGTAGTTCACCTTAAAATTTTTGGTGAATTAAATGGATGCGAAAGAGAAAAGACTAACAAAAGGGGATCTTAATACTATGAGTTGTCATGCTTGTGGACCTAAGGTTGAGATAAAAGGGAGATCTACCTAATATTGTCATGCATGGATAGAAAACCTAGGGTCTATTTAGTTCGTACTTAGAGAAGAATACACTAAAAAGTACTATGGGGAACATGAAAATCTCATAAAAGAGAAGAAGATGAATAAGAAACAAGCAATCACACTTAGATAAGAGAGAAAGCAAGCAAACATCACAAGTACAAATGCAATAGGGTAAACACCTTAAGCATGTAAGAAGAGATGATAAAACATCAAGATGAAGGAGGGTGATAAAACATCAAGCAAACATGCATCAAGTATAGGATGATAAAAACATCAAGCATGGATGACAAAACAACAAGTCTCATAGAAAAGAGAAGGATGATAAAACATCATGTAAGGGATGATATGATAAAGCATCATTCAAAGAGAGGGATGAAAAAACATCAAGAATGAATGACAAAATATCATGTAAGAGATGACAAAACATCATGTATGAATGAAAAAACATCATACAAGTAAGATGATAACACATCAATAAACACACAAGACATGGTGATCAAACACAAAAGAGATGGAATTCTCAAACAAACTTTGGTGAAGGAGGGAAGGAAAGAAAGAAAAAAAAGATAAATAATCAAGAAGCATGGCATAAAATCATTTCAAGATATCATCTAAGTTCTGACCCTAACATGTTAAACACCTTATACTATCCTAAACATGGCAACAAAGGTTGAGAAGAAAGGACTATCACCTAAATAGACAAGTAGAAGTGCAAGTATGCAATTAGAAAGATAAAACTTCAACACATGACAAAACATGTAATCAATTAGACAACAAAAGGCTAACACCTAAGTCTAAACATGCTTTGAGACCTCTAATACCCCTAAGATATCTCTACCTAAACATGTTCGCAAGTGAAGGCAAGACTAGGTTAAAACCAAACCCTAACATGTTCCTAAAGGTGAGTAAAGCACAAGAATGGGATAGATGAAGAGGGAACATGTTTAGAGGGTGAAAAACACACAAGTCAGTAGTAAATGATCTCTCTCTCTCTCTCTCTCTCTCTCTCTCAATAATATTGTCTATAAGTACTTGTGTTATATTAGTACTAATTAATACTACGTATAATATATTTTTCAGATGTATATTATACATGGTATTACAATCATTTATAGATTTATCCTTTTTATATGTAAATGTTTTGAACAGATGAGAGCATTACGAGGATTTTGGACGAATCCCCTGCTTGAGAATCAGCTGTTCGCGTTTCTCTCGCGCTATAGCCGGGAGAAAAGAAAGACGAAGGGGGGATCCTGCATGTGCAAGCTGGAACCTACTACCGAACCTACGATAGAAACAAGAACGAGGGAAACAAGGAATTACAAGCAAATGCAAGAGGAAGAGGGGTTATACCGAGCTAAAAGCAAGGGATAACAAGGAAAGACAGGTTATAAGAGTTAAGGTTTTAATGCGTGCAATGTACCAACCTTAAGCTCCAATATCGTTCCCATTACGTGCTTCTCCTCCTCGTAAGACTAACGGGAAGCACTAATGTTCTCTTGTGAGCATTACGAGGATTTTGGCACTATCTTTCGTTAATTGATATATAGTTGGTTTGGGTTTTTCAATAAATCTACACTTTAGGTATCCAACCCAAATTTAATAACTATTATTTGATTAAATATTTATCATATTTATAGGATTGTATCTGGATTAAAAAAAATCGATTAAACTGAGAATTTAAACGGAAAAAAAAAATTTAGTTAAATTTAAAAAAAAAAATTGAGATAAAATATATTCAAAATTAGAAAAAGGATGGATTGGCTTGCAATTTTCAAAAGTACTGAATAAATTTTTAATTGAACATGGACCACACTACATTCTATGTTGACATTTTTTCATAACAAATGTTACTACAAAAGTTTCTTTAAATAAAGATAAATTAGGATGAAGGTGATGGTGATGGTTCTCTTAATTTAAAATAGAGTAAACTTTATGATTCAAATAGTTTATGTTTATCTCCCTTTAAAATAACTAGTGGGACTCAATTGAATACTACATGACCTTTAACCGTTCAATCAACTCCTTGATATAACTAGTATTTGTCATAAATTAGAATATCAATAATGAATGCTTTGTGCCCACAATTAACATCGAACCCTTTTTGGTTTGTGCATAAAAACACGTTTCACTCATTCATTCGCTTTCAAACTCTTTTTGGCATTCTAGGCTTTGCCCCCACATGCTCCCATGATGATTCCCACCTTCTCCAATTTCTACTTTCTATATTCTAGCTTTTCTCATCATCATTAATTACAATCTCATTAGTGTTAATTAAAATAAGAAAAATAACAATATCCAAAATCAACCACTTAACTTGCTCTTGTGATTTCATTGACCACGCCACATTCTCTCTCTTTATATTTCTTCTTGTCTCTTGTCACATAAAACATTTAAATTGCATTTTTTAAATCAAAAGTGCTTATTAAAATTCAGTGTAACATTTAGTGGATTTAATTTAAAAGAGACCAAAATTGAAAGTATTAAAATTAGCGTTAATATTCAATATTTTAATCAGTAACTTAATATTCTCGTTAATATTCAATATTTTAATAAATAATTCATGTCTCGTAATTTCATGTTTCCGTCAATATTCAATATTTTGATCAATCACTTTATGTTCTGTTAATATTTAATATTTTGATCACTAACTTTATATTTTCGTTAATATTCAATATTTTGATCAGTAACTTTATATTCATATTAATATTTAATATTTTAATTACTATTTTCATCTTTCCAATAAAATTTAATTTTTTGATCGATCCCTTCACACTTTAATGTATTCCATCTTCATTATTCTATTTTCAATACTTTGATATAAGTTACAACTATATTTACATTAGTTAATTTTAAATTAAAATATATTATGATATTGCTCAATACAGTCCAATCATGTCGTTGTCCAACGGTGTTATTGGTACCATCAAAATAGATTATAATTTTGATTGTAAAGAAAAAACAAAATACATATAAATTAATTTGCTGCATTCACAAATCAAGTAACTTAATTTAAAATAAAAGTTGAACCTAATATAAATGACTTATTAATATTTCAAAATTTCCATTTAATGTTCTCAAGTAATTTATTCTAGTACAATAAAATACTTTAAAAAAATAACTTTAATAATGAAATAAACACAAATTTCAAACCTAAACGAATATCAGTTTTCAAAACAAAATCTGGACTTCAAAATTCTCTCTATCAGAGATGCAATTTACTTTCACATAACCTTTAATCCTCTTGGCCTGTGCATCCAAAATCCAAAAATCAAATAAAAAACCTTGTAGATCTGAAATATGCACGATTGATTCAAACTCTAACCTTGTAGATCTGAAACATGTGTGATTTGACACAACCTTTATAGTAATTTGACACAACATAGGTTGCAGAAATACAAAAAGTGGAAGGGTCTGCAAGAAAGAATCTATCTAAGCAACTCATGCCCCAAAATACTTGAATCTGAAAAAGATTTATGAATAACTTTCGATTTAAAGATACCGTTGTTCATTGATTAATCCATCTGCGCCTTTTATTGCACATGCCATAGAAGATCTTGAACATTTTCTTTACATTCAAGAAGTGCTTCTGCAAGATCTGAAACAAATACATGATAATATTTCATAAATCAAAAACCAAAGAGAAAGAGAAAGAGACATTGATGTGAACCAGAAGAGGGAAGAGAAAGTAGAAAGAGAAAGAAATGAGAAAGTGAATAGAGAAACAGAGAAAGAAAAGAAAAAAGATATTAAAATATTTTTTATTTTATTTGTTAAGTAGAAGAAGTAGTAAACAATATGAGCAAGTGGTTTAAAAGAAAAAAAAGGTTTGTATGGAAAGAAGTAAATCCAACTTTGCAAGCAGAAAGGAGGCTAATAAAATATATTAAGATTTTCGAAAAACAAAAAAAAGGAAAGGAAAAGGCAAGCTGGGATATAAGAAAGAAATTGTGTTGGAATAACAAATAAAATGGAATGATGGTTGATGAGGCAGTCCACGTGGATGGCTCATTGGCAAGAGGGGTAATATTGGAAATTCAAGAATAATAAATTTTAAGATAAATATATTTGTATCTATTTCATATTTATGAAGATGGATTTTAAGATATTTGTAGATATTTACATATATTCGTAGATAATATTTTTTTTCTAGAATTAGTTTTGAAAAAAATATTTTAAATTTCTTTTAAAAATATAAAATGTTATTATTAGATAGTATCTATACAATTCACTCTCAATTTAACAAACATAATTTTAACATATTATTTTCTTTCTTTTTCACTAAAATATAATAATATGTAAATATAATATCCATACATTTTATTTTTAGCCAAAATAAATAAAAGATATTGTGATTGAGAGTTATGGTAAAAGAGTGGATGAATGAGGAGTAGGAAGGAAGGTTCTAGTTGGACAGAAGAATGACGGTACTGGATAATTGAACGATAGAATAGTTTATGTGAAGTATGAAGTATTGAAGAAGGATAAATATGAAATAGTCAAATAGAATTTATATGAAATGTGAATGTTTTCTTCAAAGAAAATTTCATATATATATATATATATATATATATATATATATAAAAGAAGACTAATTTTTTTAAAAGATAAAAAGGCAAGATGTAATAAACTAATGATATTGGAATAAATTTTATAATTTATTAACGGATACAGATATTTATAGACGTATATATCATTAAAACCACATCCATATCTATTAACGAGTATTTAAATATTTACATATTTTATCTATAAATATCTATTAAATTATCCGTCTCATATCAGTAACAGATTTTATTCGCAATTATCCGTCTCATATCTGAGATAGATTTTATCAGCAGATATTGTGGATACAAATTTTTTTACAATCCTTAATAACAATAAATATGTTGAAGGAGGGAATGGATTATCAAGTGGAATTTTTATTGGATTTGGTTTAAATCTCACTATTTAAAATTTAATACATATTTTCTTATATTTTCAAGATTAATTTTAGTGATTAAGATCCCAATGAAGTATAATATCATTAGAGAGGATCTTTGCCCGTTGAAGGAGTAGAAATAGTTCAAGAAATAAAATAGAATAACAAAACTGAATTAAGATGGCGGTTAGTGCAAGAGGATTCCTATGTAAAATTGAAAAATAGAAGAAAAAGAATTAAATATGTGAAATAACTTGTGCTATATTCACAATGAATGAGTAATTAATGTAATACTATGCCACAAATTGTTAAAACTCAAGCTAAACATGAATAAGCATTGAGATAAAGAGAGAAGAATGGTATTCAAGCTTTTTACTATTCAAAAATCTAGTTTCAAATTGTGAGTGTAATTTTATTATTAAATATTTTGTATGATATCAAAATTAAGAAAATTTAGCTTTTTTGTATATTAGACGGTGTATCTCTATGCTATGTGACACTCCCTTGTATTAGAGGTCTTAGGAATCATTTTAGACGTTTTTAGGAATCATTTAAAACAAGTTTAAAATTGATCCCAATCATAAAAAATCAGGTTCTGCATAAAATTAATATTTATGTGTCGACCTGAAGCTTCTATGTGCCAACACATAAAATCAGCATTTCTGGACTTTCTGAAAAACTTCAGTATGTGTCGACACATACGATTTATGCACCGACACATACGACTTATGCACTGACACATACGATTTATGCGCCCACATATGTACTGCATTTTTAAAGCATGTAGCTATTATTTTGCATGTGTCGACACATGTTTTTTTCAGATCGACAAATATTATTTTATGGGTCATTTTTTCATAATTTTTTCATTCCGAAAATTCCCTCTATTGCTTAAAAAGATCTCAACTATAAATATATCATTCATGCATCATTCCAACTTGATGTTACCTTAAAATTAACCTACATTTGCTCTTCATCTACAACCATCAACCTATGCATACACACTAATATTTCATTGCAATGATATTTTGTTGGGGTGTCATCTAGACGAGGTTTGATAATGTCCAATTAGGTTCTTGTGTAGCCTAGAATATTGGGTTGAGAATTGTAGGAGTCTTCATCCAGAAAAACTGCGAGTTTGTCCTCCAAAATCATTGATTGATTTCAGGGTTTTCGTTCAAGATATTCAAAAGAGGATAGCGGCAAAGTGAGTCTCTTTGGAGATAAAGAACGCGAAGGATCCTTTGGAAATAAAGAATGCAAAGGAAATAGCGAGAAAACATCGAATCAAATTGAAGTCTTGTATTGTAATAGTTGCAATTGATGATGCACGAAAGCTTTGAAGATAAAGAACGCAAAGGAGTATCAAGATCCAGATAGTCAATTGGCAATTTGTTGTATGCGTGATCTTGTTGAAGATCAAAAGAAGAGAAGATGTTTAATCAACATCAAACGGTTATGGTTTATAGGGTTACTCTTGAACACTTCTCTTGTATTCACACTTCTTGTAAAGTAAGAAAGTATCCTAATTCCACATTGGAATTGGGTGCAGACGTGCCCACGTGCGAGGACGAGAATGAGGAACTGTGTAGACAAATCCTTGTGTCTCTTTTTATTTTATTGATTTAATTGCTTTAATTTTCATAGACCAATTTGTCAAATAGCATTGAGTAATCTATCAACGCGTATGAATTTTCCAACATTGTTTTTGTTTTGAATTGTGTGTTGAGTTGCTTATAATCACTTTTGATTATAAGTTCTTTTTTTATCAACACAACACAAAGGAAAATTCTAAAAATTTGATTGCACACCGAGTTTTGATAAATTGTTTAGCTTGTTTAACTCAAAGAAAATTTTTAATGTTTTATCACTTACTCTCATTTACTCTTTATATGCAATTTGTTGAATGTGTTGTTTGATCGATTGATTCATATAGAATTTCTCTTTGATTATTAAACTTTAAATTGCTTTGTTGATTAGCTTATAATCACTTTGATTGTAAGTACTTTTTCATATCAACAAAGCTCAAAGAAAATTCTAAAAAATTGATTGAGCGCCACATGTTCAATAAATTATCAAATTATGTTTTTACTATGATTTCTTTGGAAATTAGAAACCACTGTGTTTGATATTAAACTGTTAATGGAGATATTATTATGTTTATTGATTTTATCATTATCTTAAATTCCATATGACTTGTGCATATCTAAGTTTCCAATAACTAGGTTCGTTTAGACTACTTTATTGATCTAGGCCAAAAACATTCGCTCAATATTATTTTTCAAATAAGTTTTTAAGTAGCCATTTTGAAATGTCATTTTTAATTTGAGCCTTTATTCACCCCTCCTATAGATGAGTTGTCGTAGTCTAACAAGTGGTATCAGAGCCCCGATTAATTATGTGCTTCGAAACTCTTATTAGAAAAATATGTACGAACCTAAAAAGGATTACAAAACAACCCCAATTTTTTTCTGGAAGAAAAATATAGTTATTGGAAAACTTATATGCACATTCATGTTAATTTATATGACAAGGATATGTGTGATGCTATTACTCAAAACAATGCTAATGGCATTGTCACATCTAAGCCGGAAGCACTATGGAATAATGATGATAAGAAAAATACATTAAATCTCATTAATTGGTTGAACGTACATGGTAATCTTATTTCTAATGCAATTACTACTAATAAAGTTGTGAGATGTATTACTAGGAATTGGCAAATGAAGGTCACCATGATCAAGGAAGATAATAATCTTACAACACTTGATTTCACTATATTGTTTGGTAAGTTTGAAGAACATGATCAAGAACTTACTTGCTTAGACAAGCATGAGAAAATTCTTGAGAAGAAGAAGAAAATGATAAAGACATGTATAAGGAGGAAAGAACAAAGTCTAAAGCTCTTAGGGCGTCAAGTTAAAGGTCCTCAAAAACTTGTCTTGTTGTTTTTAGTAGGAACATTATCTTGACTCCATGAAGAGAATATGGGTTCTCATTTATGGTGGCTCAAGGCATATGAGCATATTCTAACCCTATTATATATGGGGCAAGAAGATGGATTATATGATCTAGAAAGCAACAATAAGTTTTGTTTTATTGGTAAAAGATGTGTAAGTTACTTTTGATGTTGGATCCAAGAATACTTGGATAAGGTATTTCATTTCATGATGTGGGTTTATCTTCAAGAGACATACTCAATGACCCATGTGATACGGTGGCAGAACTGACTGTTTTTTTACTACTGATTTTTGCGTTTTTTGTTCGCAAATGTGCGGTAAGCAAGAGTCGCCACCGAATTTTATTTCATCCAAAAAAGGAAAAGGAAAAAGAACATAAAAAACCTTGTTTGAGATGTTTCTGAGTATGGGGGGTAGATTATAGAAAGGGAAGGTGTTAGCGCCCTTTCTATCCGTGGTTTTCCATGGACTCTTAGGTACTTGCTCATTTTTAAATTGCTTTT